TGAAAATGAAAGAATTTCTTTTTCAGTTATTATGTGGTACATAGTAATTTTGAAAACTAAAAGGTTCCCTATTAACACAAAATTAACATTCCTCGAAAGAAAAAAATATCCTTTAATATACTGGTACGAAGGAAGAGTAATATGGGCAAGATGCACAACATTTCTAAATTTGTTCAAATTTAGAATCACAACTGATTCATTATAACAAACAACATTATAATAATTGCTGGTACTAGTAACATTAAAAGGGTGACAAAATTTCTTTCATTGTTGCCTATGAGACTTTTTCTCCCAAGGGAAAAAACCCAAATTATACATAGCTGCCAAAACACACACTCCTATTTATTATTTATATAAACTTGAAGGCACTGTATTATGTATATAAATTTCATTCATTACTATCCTTATGCTGTGGCTTTGGATTAAAAATGCATAAGCAAGTTAGCACAATGAAGAAATAGCTGTTGGTGTAATGACAACATTCCTGGAACTAAAACCACAAGAACTAGGGTCAAATACACATATTGTCACTTACTAGTAGGTGGCCATGGGCAAATCACGTAATCAATCGTTCTGAGCTTCTGTTTTTCTATCCCAATGAGAAAAATTCCACTTACTTCCTAGAGTCATTGTGAAGAATAAATGAAATAGCGTATTACATGAAAGTACACTACTAAATTTTGTGTTTCATCTTCCTTTCCTCTCCATAAAGTAATGAGCCTCTCCCCCAGTGGAACTAGACTTTATTGCTTTGTAATTATGATGTGCATGTAACAATGTCCAAGAAACTAGATGGTAAATAACACCAACACGCAAACCTGAATGCATACACTGTTAGCTGGCTATCATCTAGATCCCAAAGGACTCTTGCACACTATCTATTGCATCCCAGAAATAGGATACATATTCTTTTCTGAATACAGCCCAAATTATCCATCATGATGCTACACAGAGCAGCTGGCTGATTGAAAGTGACTCCCCCTCCCCCATACTCCAGCTGTCACCAGGAAACCCTCCCCAACCTGTGAAAAAAGACAATGTACTATTACTATTACCACTATTAATAACAATCTAACACTTAGCATCTGAAATTATTTTTCTTATGAAAGCTCATTATTAACCATAAAAAAACACTTGATCATATAAATGCAGGACAGCTGCCTTTACAACAAAATATGGTAGATAGTAAACACAAATAATACTGTATATTTTCTTTGACTCCCCCCATTTCCCTGAGTCATTTGTAATGCTAAACGGCAGTTGCTTAAAATACTAAATAGCTTTTAATAGTGATACAGCTGTCACAACTTGAGATTCTTTTTTTAAAAAAATCTTGATTTCTCAAAAATACGCACAGAATCCCATGGTTGTAAAATATGGGTCAAATCAAAAGCTACATTGGGGGGAAAAAAACTACTCACAATGCTGAAGGAGAAGCTATACATAAGCTGACACTGCTGAAAACTGGGAACTGTCATCAATGCAAGTTTGTGAATCCCATTCACCAGAATTCTTAATGTCATTAATTTTTAGGTATAGTTCATGTCCTGAGATTTTTCTAACCCTCCAGTAGTTTCCTGCCTAGTTCTTGAGAATACTAGCTTCCCTGGATATTCCTCTAAAGGTGGGTACCCAGAATCAAGAGCTCTTTACCTCACTCATCTCAAAGCCTCTAATTTTCTAAACTTTTCAGGTCAGACATTGTTCTCTGTTTAGAGGACATAACTACAGCATTAAAGGAAATAAATCTTTTTAAGTAAGTCTATTTTAATGTTCTTTAAAATAATTTTTACATATACACACATACTTAACCTCCTGTAAATATATTATTTTGTTTTGTACTTAACCCCACCTCCATATTACAATGATATAAATTATTTATTTTTACATTTGTTCCCCATCTCCATGTTACAATACACTATCAAGTAAATTAAATTACAAGCTAGATTCATTCTCAAGTATTTTCCATGCCCATATATACCTAACAATATATAGAAATATAAAACGTGTTTTTATTACTTCTTAAAAAAAATATGACCAATGTGATTCTGCAACCTGTACACTCAAAAAAATGAGAAATTATACCCCATCTGATTCAAATGTATAATGTGTCAAGATCATTGTACTGTCATGTGTAACTAATTAAAACAAATTAAAAAATTAAAATTTTTTAAAAAATAATTAAAGCTATTGAAATTCATCAAAAAAAAAAAATGGAACACAAACTGTTTCAGTTGCTATCCCTAAGCATCCATATTGAAAAATATTAATTCTTTCAGGACTAACAGCATTTCCTTATGTTTTGGTGTATTTTTTCAATGAGGTGTCATCTTCTATAACAGATATATTCCCCTACTATACTTGACTATTACCACTGAAATCAGCGATAGAAGAATCACTAAAGATACTAAAATATTAACCATGCATTGACCTTCAGTATACACCAAAACAATTTCTAGAAGTTGCTGTTATGATAAAAATGAAGATTTTTTCAACCTCAATTAGAGTTTTAACTTCCTCCAAGTGTTTCTTTTTCATGATTATATGAAGGTTTTGACTCTACTTCAGCATCTTATTACTTAAAAAGTAGTGCACTTAGGTTAAAAAAAATACTTCATATATAAGAATATTAAAAAATGAATGGACCAAGGTTAGATTTGAGGCAATAAATACCTTTTTTTCGTCTGTCCAAAAGGAAACACTCCTGAGCCTGTATATTACTAACATATAGTAGACATGTTTTACATATTATTTCATTTAATTCAATGGGCTGAATAGGCACCCTATGACTTCTATTTTATAGAATAAAAAAGTAATGCTGGAATGATGTCACTTTGTCTTAATAGATACAATCAGTACATAGTAGGGGCAGGATTCAAAGCACGGTTTGTGTGACCCCAAACCAAAGCAGGGTTTGTGTGACCCCAAACCATTGCTACACATTTGCCTCTCTCATATGGAGAATAAGAAATTATCTGGGGCCTTTGAAAAACAAATGTTTCATGATGCGGTAGTATCAATTTGTCGATGGGAGGGTCAACAAAATTACTTAAGAATCTGATATCCAAAGTGACATGTTTATCTGAAAACTCTCACCCACAATACACAGTGTTCTCTAATCAAAGCATTATATTGCATAGGCCATGGTTTGACACTGAACCTTCTCAACACTGCAATGAGCTAAGGCTTTAGGGCAGTAGCTTCAGATACCAAATATTTCTTTTTCTCACGACTTGAAAAAGGAAAGGAATAGGTATAAGAAAACACTGCATCTGACAATCTGGAAAAAAAAAAAAAAAAAAAAACCAGCAGGATGAAGGTACATCTAGCTTAACTCCTGTGATCCTTCCACAAAATGGAAGTATGGAAAGTAGATATGAGGCCTATTTGCTATAGGGGAGCTGTATGACATACAGGAACAAAAGACAAGGACAGATTTTCATTAGTCTTGGTTTTTTGTTTTGTTTTGTTTTATACTAATCACTACTCTATAATGCTTTTCAACTCTAAAGGAAGTATTTACCTCTAGTCTCTTCCAAGTTTTGGGTCAAAAGAACATAACTAACTGCAACTAAGTCCACGAAACCAGAAATACCAAAACATTAAAACACATCGCAACATAATTACTGATTCTACAACAATACTACAACCTTAATAGCGTTAGTATTAGAACAACTGCTCTTTTAACAGAATACCCTGCATCAACAATCTTGACTACTTACAATTTAACAGAATAAATACCCTCTAAGCCCTGCTTACACTCCTCTAATGCACAATTCTTATTTAACCCAACAAAGTATCCTTCCAACACAATTCTCATACTAATTTCAGGTAGTCCTAACGTAATAACAATATCTCACCTTTGGTGAGAATTTTATGAATTGGTGATATATTCTTTTGTTCGTTTTCACATGGCCCATGAAGTAACATTTAAGTGACTTGTCCAAGATTCTATATCTAGGTTACACTTGAACTTAATTCAAATCCCCCTGTGACTCCACAATGGGCGTTATAACTAATGTCAGTCATTCTGAAACCTTAGCGCCAGATGCACTGGGAATCAAACGGAAGGCTTGCTAAAATAATCTCTAATTTGGGATAAGACGCCAAAATTTGCATTTCCAACAAGTTCCCAGGTGATGCGGATGGAACAACACAGGAACCAATGCATCCCTACACTTTGAAAGATCACTTGTTTTCCCAAGTCCAGACCAGCAGCAAGTCAGAAGCCTTTAATGTTTTATTAGAAAAGCGGAAGAGAGCGGGGAGACACACTAGAGCTTTCAAAGCTTTTTTAAATGCAATTTCAAAGAGAAAAAAAAAAATTTAGTGCCACTGAACTACAGCAAGAGACCTACGCAGCTCAACAACGGAATCATAACTATGCAACAATTCACTTTGATAATAAGCTAAGTTTTCAAGAGTTTATGCTCAGTTTGGAAAAAACATAAGCATGTGATGATCCACTTTTGGAAAAAGTATCCAAAGGTTTTTTAAGGTCTGAGCAGAAGAGGGTTAAATCCGCTTAGGTGGATTTCCCTTCTCCTAAGTTAAATATCACATCTGAAGTTAGGATTCAATTTGCCACAACTTGTTTAGAGGTACAGGTTACTGCCCTGTGCTGACGCAACATGGCCGTAATCGTCCTATTTTCAAAAAGAATCTTGCAGAACTCCGTTAGACCCAACCCCAACCTGAGCGTCTGGGAACTTAGTCCCGGGTGAGGTCGGCCTCTAGCACAGAGAGGGCAACGACCAGGAGACCCGGGGTACAGTCGCGGAAAGAAAATCCGACCCGCCCTCAGACCTGGGGAAGAGCGCGCAGGAGCCAGAGGCGGCGCCTCCAACCCTGCCCCGCGCCAGCCCCCTCCCCCCGGGGAGGCGCCGACCGCCGCCCCGCAACCCCCGCCCAGCCGCCAGCGCCCGCGGCCCAGGGAAAACGGGAGAAAAGCAGCACAGAACCAGCTACGCGAAAGGGGCCAAACAGACGTGGAAACTCACGCTCTATGGCCCGCCTGCGTCCACACGTCTTCGCACGCACGTGCGTCATCACGCACGGACGCCGATCCCAGATGCTCCTTCTTCTCCGGCTATAGAGGGAGCCTCAGCAGCCGCGCGACGGGCCCCGGGTTGGGGAAGAGAGCCGTAAAGCGCGCAGCCACGCCGCGGCGCATGCCCAGTTGTGCGTGTCTGGCCGGTGGTCCCCGCGTGCTGGAGGCCGCGGGGTCGCCGCGGGGAAGGACCGCTGCAGAGCGCAGTAGGCTGAGCTTGTTCTTTCTACTCATCCGCAGGATCCGTGAGAAACTTGCGGAATAACACTCCTTATTGTCATAAATAGCTAACGGCCGTCTACCACGCGCAAAGCAAAGGAGCGGTTGCTCTCGAGGGACTCGTTGTGGGGAGAAGGGCGAGTTACAGGCTCCCTGGCTCCTTCGGGGCGGAGAAACTGCCTGCTAGGGTCTGGTGGTGCTGTAAGCCCCTGAGCAGCTGCAGGAAGGCCGCTACTGCCTGCGAATGGTTGGTGGGACAGGCAAACTCCTACTTCCAAAAGTTCTCCCCAGACGGCGTGAGAGCCGCTTATCTCAGCATTAGGAAGTAGGCCAGCGGAACAAAGTCGGGGTGTACATTGCCTCGGAGGCTGCACTGCCGAGTCTGTTTGCCTTAATAAGGACTTCAGGTGTTAGGTATTTGAGGTTCACGTGTCATTTGTTCACTTGTTGGAATCAGACTAAGTTAAATGTTATAATGCTGTATTTATTTCATAGGAGAAAACTATCTTTTGGCGTAAGATCTTCTAAAACTAGGGGAAAGATGCACTTTTTCCAACAAAGCAACCGAAAACAGGTGGTTTTATGCTGCTTTTTAGTTATTGGCAGTTGTAGCAGCTGTGTTTTGCCTATTAAAACAAAAATTGCCTAAATCGGAAGTTTATTTTCTGTCATTGGTAATTGCCAGAATTCTTTATAGAAAAATTTATTTTAGAGTTAAAATTGAAGTGAAAATATGGCTCCTTTACAGGAAATACATATGTGTATCTGAGACTTTAATATGACAAGATTTTCAGTGAATTGCATACTTGAGCTTTATAAATTATTTATTTAAAAACACTATGTTGATTAGAAAGTTCCTGACAGAAACTGAATTCCCAGGAAGAGTCAAATGGAAGAGGAAAACAGTAAATTGCCTACAGAAATATTTCCCTAGGGGAAAATAAATGTAATTTCTCAAAAAGAAGGGGTCCCCACTTACCCTTCTGATCCATGACCATATGCATTCATTCAATTAATACTAATCTAATTTTTTATTTTTATTACCCAGTACACCTTTCTATAATTGCATGATTTTTCTTGTCTTTATCATAATACATCAAATACAAGAGAAATCAAGAGGTCTCAGACCATTAACCTTGTAAAAATGCAGTTGTAGGGATTAAGGATGTACTTAGGTAATTATATTTCGGTTTCAAATATTATCAGTGAAAGAAATAGGGCTGGAGTTATAGTTCAGCAGTAGAGCACTTGCCTCTCACCTGGGAGGCACTGGGTTCCTTTCTCAGCACTGCATATAAATAAGTAAATAAAATAAAGGTCCATCAAATATTATCAGTGAAAAATTTCATAGACATTTAAGGGAATAGAAAAAAGAATCTTCTTAAACACTCTCTTTTATTCTATATGATTTGTTGAGCACACTAAAATTGTTTTTTAAGTTTCTAATTTGGTATATTTTATCATTCTCAAGTCCCAATTAAACTGGCATGCATCACCTGGATAATAACTACATATCTTAAACATTAATATGGGGCAGTCAGTAGAATCACTGAACAAGTATTAAAAATACTAAAGAATCAATAACAAAAGTCCTTTAACATAAAAGGCATGTAATTGTTATATCACCTTACAAATAATAATTCTTAAAGCCTCAAAAGTATTTATTTTTATCATGAGAAAAGATAGCACTATGCTTATTGCATATAATATGTTTGGTTTTTACTTATCAATTGGATTGCTAGTGTTTTTCAAGGCTTAGTAGTTTTCTGTTTGGTTAATCCTACCATTATTGGGAGTAAGATATTGAATTGAAATATTAAACTTTTTTTTTTAAACTAGGGATTTAACCCAGGGGTGCTTAACCACTGAACCACATCTCTAGCCCTTTTTGTATTTTATTTTGAGATAGGGTCTTGCTAAGTTGCCTAGAGCTTCACTAAGTTGTTGAGGCTGGCTTTGAACTTGCAATCCTCCTCCTTCAGTCTCATGAGCCACTGGATAACATGTGTGCGCCACCATGCCTAGCTGAAATAATATCAAACTATTATTATTTAGTTCATTCAATTCTATCATAAAAAAAAAAAAAAAAAAAAAATCAGTGCTGTGATGGAAGCCAGGGCCTCATGCATCCTAGTGCTCTGTCACTGAGCTATACTTCTAGCCCCTTGATTCATTTTCTGGGATTGCTGTAAAAAGAAAAGTACCACAAACTAGGTGGCTTAAAACAATAGATGCTTGCTCAGAGTTCTAGAGACCTGAAGTCCAAGATCAAAATATTGACAGGATCATGCTTTCTCTAAAACCTATGCACAATTCAACTCATAGCAGACCTATGTAAAAGTAAAAAAATTAATACTTAAAATCCTCCCACAAAAGAAAACTCAGGCCCCAATAGATTTAATGGTGAATTTAATCAAAATTTAAGATTATGCAATCATATACAAACTCTGAAAACAGAACTGTTCTCATTTTATGAGGCTGCTATTACCCTGATACCAAAGCAACAAAAAGTCATTACAAAAAAAAGCTACAGATCAGTATTCCTCATGGACATACAAAAATTCCCAGCAAGGTATTAATAAATCCCGTATTATATATGAAGGATTGATTATGCACTATGACTGTAAGGTTGGTTTTACATCAAAATATCAATTTTAAACACCATACTAACAGACTAAAAGTACACACAATTATTTGTTGGTCCATATGGACTGTCATAACAAAAATACCATAAATTGTGTGGCTTATTAAAAAATTTGCTTCTCACACTTTTAGAGGCACCATCAAGTCACCAGCAAATTTAGTATTTGGTGAGGGCTTACTTCCTCATAGATAGCACCTTCTTGCTATATTCTTACATCATGAAAAGGGGGCATTAGCTCTCTGTGGTCTCTTCAGTAAGGATAATAATCTCAACTTATCATGGCCTAATCACCTGTCAAAGGCTCCACCCCTGAAAACTATCACCTTGGGGGTTAAGATTTCAACATGAATTTTAAGGGGACACATTCAGATCATAGTATCATCTCCATATGTGTAGAAAGACATTATTTTAATCCAACTTACATTTATAATAAAAACTCAAAAAGAAGTAGGAATGGAACTTCTTCCTCCTAAAAAGGGCACCATCCTTCTAGAGCCAACATTATACTTAAGGGTAAAACACTGAGTGCATCCTCACCAAGATCTGAAACAAGAAAGAAGTCAGCACTCCCTACTTTTTTTTTTTTTGTATGTTTTTTAGTTGTAGATGGACACAATATTTTATTTATTTATTTTTATGTGGTGCTGAGGATGGAACCCAGTGCCTCACACATGTGAGGCAAGTGCTCTATTGAGGTACAACCCCAGCCCTGCTCTCCCTACTTCTATTCAACATTGTACTGGAGGTTTCAGCCAGTGCCTTAAGAGAAACAACTAAAAGGCATCTGATTGTAAAGAAGTAAAACTGTCTATTCACAGATGACTTGATCCTGTATGTAGAAATTATTAAGAAAAGCATGTGTGTGCATGTTTGTGCGCACACATATGCACACAAACTATGAAAATAAGTGACTTTGACATAGTCTTAGAATATAAAAAATAAATGTATTTCTGTATGCTACAAATTGGCATTCCTGGTTTAAGGAAAATAAAATCAAGCAAACAGTTTCATTCCAGCAAGCATCAAAAGAATAAAAATCTAGCCAAGTGGTACAGTCCTATAATCTCAATGACTTCAGAGCCTGAGACAGAATGATTACAAATCTGAGTGAGTCCGTGTCTCAAAATATGAAAAGGACTGGGGATGTAGCTCAGTTTGAAAATGCCCTGGGTTCAATCCCCAGTACCAGGAAAAAAAAAGAAATATTTAGAAACATTAGAAATAAATGTAATAAAAGAAATGCAAGATTTGTTCAATGAAAACTACTTAAGATGGATAAGAGAAATTTATAATCATGGTCTGGAAAGCTAAAGAATATATTAAAGGACAATTCTTAAATGACTTATAGATTCATTCCACAGTCCCTTTCAATTTCAGTGAACTTCTGCATTTGTTGTGGTACATTTTGATAAGCTGATCCATATGTAGAATAAAAGATCTGGAATAATCAAAACAAATTGGTAAAGAACAAAATTGGACAGGTTAGATTGCCTCATTTCAGTTGACAAATTGGACTTTCTCCTATTTAAAAAATAATAATAATGGTACATGGAAGATGTCATTAAGAAAATGAAAACTAAACTACAGTTTGGAAGAAAATATTTGTAAAGTTTATAACCGTTAAAAGATTTGCATCTGGAATCTTAAAGTGCTCTTACCATTGAAGAAGAGGAAGTTGAGCCAAGTGTGGTGGTGCACGCCTGTAATCCTAGTGGCTTGGGAAACTACAGCAAGAGGATCATAAGTTCAAAGCCAGGGTCAGCAATTTAGCAAGGCCCTAAGCAACTTGACAAAACCCTGTCTGAAAATAAAAAACAAAAATAAGCATAAGAAGGAGAGGGATAAGGAGGCACTGATTTAATTAAAAACTGGACAAAAAGGCTAGGAATTGTATCTCAGAATTAGAGTACCTGTCTATCATGCTACAGGCTCTAGGATGGATCCTCTGTACTTAAAAAAAAAAAAAAGTGGGCAAAAGTTTTGAAGAATACTTTACTAGATAAAATATATGAATAAGCACATAAAAATAGTCTCAACATCATTAGTTCATTAATCATTAGGAAAATGAAAATTCAAACCACAGTGAGATACCATCCTATACCCCTTAATGTGACTATAATAAAAAAAGACAAGTTGGGACAAGAATGTGGAGAAACCAGAATGCTTGTACATTGCTGGTTGGGATGTAAAATGGTATGGCCACTTTGGATAACAAGCAGTCTCTTAGAAAGTTA